GTGCTGATTGAAAATCTGGGAGTATGAAGTGCTCCATCCTTTGCTTGCCATTCCATTTCTAGACTCTTTCTAAAGCATATTTATGATAATTTTCCTGTATTGATTTAGTGTAATCAAATACATTGGCACTTTGACGTTCTAAACAATATTGTGCTAAACATACTGCAGTTTGCTGTAAATATGAAGTGTTGTGTTCACAGTGAATTATTTGATCAGACATTTATTCTGGACAAGCAGATGTCTTGAGTATTATAATTTTCAGCACAATCCTATGCATGTATTTATAGCAGTACCCTGCTTAGTGATCTGGATATGTTCTAAGAAAATGGAAGACTAACTGAATCAGTGCTAATGGGGCAGTTTAAGATTGTGTCTTATGCCAAAGTTCCAGAGGCTCAGACCACATCCAGAGTCAAGCATGGGGATTAGGCTTCAGGTGTGCCTCAGCCACAGAGCAGGTGAGTTGTGCCCCAGAGCTCCAGTGTACTTCCTTCAGGTAGACCGGACCTCAATCAGGCACCACAAAATGGCCACCCAAGCATGTGCACTATAATGAATCAGTTCTATTCAGGGTCACAAGCAGGGTGTTATTGTCTAGAATTAAATCCCTCTGTTTTCAGTGGGGCTTATTCAGAGGTAAGTATGTATGGTCTTAATTATTTTAAAAAAAGAGATGTGTCTCTGAAAAGGGACAGAAGTTCATTTTCTGATCGAACTTATTTCTGCAAGTGTCATCTTCTAATTTTCTTTTCCCCCACAAGGTAAAAAGAAAACTTCCTTGCAAAGGGAGGAAAGAAGGGCCAAATGAAGGCATGCTCCAAGCTTCTGCAAAAACCAAGCAACTTTCTGTATAGGAACTGATAATACTTCAGATCACACAGCTTTCAGCTCTGAAAAGACAGAAAAACTGCTTCCCTTTCAGATAAAAGTAATCTGCAGAAACTCTTGATAGAGGCTAAAAGCATCTGTACTTATTTCCCCAGAGACTTTTTTATGAAAAGTCAATAATTAAGCAAATTGCTTAACACTTTATTCCAGTTTCTGCATATCTGGAGTTTAAAAGTGTTTTACTTCATTAATTTTCATGCTGCATTTTTTAAAAGGAAGTCAGAGAGAGGTTCTTAGAGCAACTTTAAAAATTCTCAGACCTAGAACCAGGTATTGTCCACTTTTTTTGAAGAAAAAAATGGAAGCCTGCTGAATGATTTTTAATTGAAGACACATGGAAAATACCTTAACTGTCATTTGCTTTTTGCTTTTGGAGACTCTTATGTATAATTTTTTTTCAGCAATGTAAGATGTATAGATTCTCGGTTCCTGCTGTGAAAAGTCACATAGTGGCAATTTTTATACATGTTGCTTTCTGACTTTTATCAGAGTGGGAGACTAATCACTTCTTGATTAATTTGCAAGTAGACATTTCATCTTTTTAAATTTCCCCTCCATTTTAGTTTAATATAATTTGCAATAAATGTACATACTGTTGGTTGTTTTATAAAAACATATATCACTTCTAAATGGGTTTACTCCTGTGGTTCTGTTGGAATATTCTAAATTTTAATGGAGTAAAGACAGCCCAGCATTTGATTTTATAATGTTGTCGCCAGATTTTTATTATTGATGTAAAAAAATCAATTTTTAAAAATAGTTGGATTTTTGGCAGCTTTGTAAGGAACGTTGGAAATGTTTAGGGTTGCTCTCAATTTTAAGCATTGTGCTGATTGAAAGTAAGTCTTTTATATGTTTTGTCTTCCTGTCCCAGCTCATTTTTTAATGTTTAATTTAGAAAGACTTGCATCAATATTGATTGCCCCCCCCCCGGCATTGTTCAGCATACTGTGTACACTTTTATGTACACGTGATCATATTTAAGTTTGTTGCATAAAATAAATGCTTCTAGGTGTCATGGTATTTTTTTTAATAAAAATATTTCTGCACGGCATCTCCACATCCATGGGGAAAATGCCCTAATGCTCAGAGAATGCTAGCTTTTAAATGTTTGCTTTTCAGGGAGGGGATGACCTGTTAGCAGACAGGACTGCAGTATTAATAACTCCCTTCATAGATTAAAGATAGCATTAAAACAGGTATGAGTATATAGTTAGACATCACTCAAGATGGGTAATGAAGCATAGAAAAATTGCTCTGCAAACCAACCTCAGGTTACATCAAGGTAAAAAAATCAACTTTATTCTGAAGGGTAAAGAAAGTTGTCATATTGTGCAGCACCTCTGACACTAAAAGTTGCCAGATCAGGAGACAAGAGGCATGGTGGAAACTCACAGTAACACAGCAGCTAAGGCACAGAGTCAGAGATTTGTCTTGAAGTTATTTGAGGAGACCGTGCTTGAATGTGTTGTTTCTTGACCTGCTGAATCCAAATCAAATTTCAGCATAAATTTGCGTTGCAGACACATACATACTCTTTAATTAGGATTCATGAAATTGAGAGCAAGATAAGAGAACTACTGCAAAATGACTAGTTAAAGTGTATTTGGGGAAATAAAGTTTGGGCAAAATGTATGAAATTGGTTGCAAAGCATCATTTGGTTTAATATACAAAATAGCTTGCTTTTCTAGGAACTTCTAAAGTTTTTTTTTAAAAAAGAGACCCAATTAGCCCTGACATACAAAGAAAAAAGGGTAAGATAAAACTTTGTTGAGCAGCTGTAGTCTGCGGATTTGGAAGCTTGCATATCTTCATGAGTGAAGAAACACAACTGCCCTGTCTCAGCAGCTGGACTTCATCTTCAGAACATTAGTGAACTTCTGGAAAGAGCTTGTTTTCTGTGTATCACTTAAAACATTTATTTATTTTATTTATATCCCGCCTATCTGGTCGGATCAGGACCACTCTAGGCGGCTAACAAGATACATGTGTATCTTTTTGCTTTTATTCAAGTGAAATGTTAGAAGTTTTCGAATTAAGAGGCAACATTCATGAGGGGCATAGAGATGACAAATGTGGCTTTTGTTTTGAGTGCCCCCTCTGTTCTGATTTTTTTTCATTAGAGATTAAACAAAAATACAGTATGGAATCTGTTGACCCCACATAGAAGACAGTGGTGCGTCAAAAATAGTAACTTGACAAGACACAATTACTGAATTACTACAAGAATAATACTTCTAAAGATAACTTATAAGGCACATTGTGGGAGTTAATTGTAAAGTAACAAATTGTAAATAGTAATGATGGTTACTATTTTTAAAGCAAAGTAGGACAGAACAGCTATAAGGGGAGATTGCATCATCCTTGCTTGTGAAATAGCCTTCCAGTTTAGGGCTACTCCACAGAAAGCAACATTGAATGACAGAACATTAACTTTTTTCATGAGCATGGAGCTCTGAAAAGTTTGGTTGCAAGACAGTAGCCCAGCTCAGACATGAAGGTGTCTCCTTAACAGGAGAGTGCCCCAGGCTACTGCCATATGAGCCTCTCCTCAAAATATTCCTATTTACCAATGATAGTTCATTCTGTCCTTTCTGATTCTTGACCATCACTTTCCCCATTTTGTCTTTTAGACATACCATCCTGCTGGGTTGACACCAGCTAATTCCTTCCCTATGCTATCTATAAACACCAAGGGGTAGCTGAGTCTCCTCACTAGTGCTAGTGCACATTCCTGGACAAGGCAGCAGCATAGAATACACAGCTGCCACTTTGCATAGTTTGGTTTTGGGAGTGTATTTTGAACTTTTGATAATTATTCTACCCCATTTTCCCAAAAATAAGACCTAACCTGAAAATAAGCCCTAGTAGGATTTTTCAGGATGCCCGTAATATAAACCCTACCCCAAAAATAAGCCCTAGTTAAGTGAAACCCTGCCCTCCACCTTTGTGCAGCATTGTGTGCCAACCAGATGACATGACTAAAATAAAATCCCCTGAAAATAAGCCCTAATTAATACAAGACCCTGCCTCATTTTCAGGGAAACACAGTATGTCTGTGTTTTATGTCTTTAATTTGGTAACCACAAATTCAGCCTTCTTTTGCCTTGTAAATCTGGAAAAGATTACTATGTAACAGATAGTCCATGTAACTGGAGGATGCTTATGTTGATTATTGGCCTAGGAATTGAAATTTTACAAACAGCTCTCCATTTTCATGTATGGGAAGGGTTCACCGTGTGTTAGACCCAATATCTTGCTGTGAGGGCAGACATCTCTTCATTCCTTCTACCAGAACACCTGGACCTAGAGTAGAATACCTCAGCTACCAACTTAGGCAGAGGAATCCTATTTGTGAATATTAAGTAGCTGTGTACTGTCTTATTGAGCCTGCCAGAGGAAACAGAAACATAGCAGTAACTCAGAACCAGGTTCAAAAGGCTAAGAATTATTCATATTATAAAGCGGCCTCTCAGATTGCAATGGGTACTCTTTTGAGATTTTTATCCCCTCATGTATGAACTATTTAATATGGTAAGTCTCCATGCATTACTATCACTCACTTCGGAGCCATGTGAAAGAAAGTGACTTCTGATATCAGTCTTCATCACCCTGCCTGGTGTTTGAGACCGGGGGGAGAGGGGCAACAAGGAGCATACAGAACTGTGCTGATCCTTAGAGAGGCAATTTGGATAGTGATCACTCAAGCATCAGTTATTTTAACTGGCTCTTTAAGAAAAACAAAAGATACAATTAGTTGGCTTACCAAACATTTTAGGCACATACATGCATATCTTGCTGGCCCATTGCACACCATCCTCGATATGTAATGACATCATTACATGGCATTTAACAATGGTGTGCCACTCTCTATTCTAGACAACTGTATTATCACAAAATGAGATGAAGACCTTCACAGGGAAACATGCATTTATTGTTAAGCATTTGCAGTGGAAATCAACATTTTTAAAATGTGTATTTTAAAAAACTGTACAAAAGTGTTGTGTTTTCTTAGGAGACAAACACATCAATGTTGTATTCCAGCCCACTTATTTGCTTACAGTGAGGTGAAATGTTCTGTTGAGATCTTTTAAGTACCCTTTGTTTAAAGTTTTTTTTTAAGGATGGAAAACAACAAATAGGTCAGCAAGGATCTTCAACATTACCAACTTTTTAGGGGTGCCCTCCCTAGTTACCAGTATAGTGTACAACACTGCAAATTTAGTAAAAGGCCCTTACAGTATTTTGATCTTTTCAGCATAACTTTGAATGACTACATTTCAGCCTATAGTGCAGGTGGATCCTTCCCATGCCATTACAGTTGGGTAACTAGAAAGGACCACAACAGACGTAATTCTTTCCTCTCTCTCTCTCTGGAAAGGATTCAGAGTAAAACAAGAGGTAAGTAGGCAGGTAAGGGCACTTGAAGCTCTTAAAAGCACAACATGGGAAGAGGAAGAATAGCATATTCTTGCTGCTGGACTGGGTTGTATTCCAGGCACATAGCAGGACGAGCAGAAGCCTGCTGTGTGGCAGACTTGGACGTACTGATGAAGCAGCAGAGTGAACGAATCAATGCTTCCAACAGGGGTCCTCCATGCACAGTGGCTCCTTTTACAATGACACCACTCTTCCAACACCACCTTGCATTCCTTTAAAATCACTACCTACAGGGTGTTTGGCCAATCTTAAACCCGAAGTAACTACTCCTTAGCCTCCCTCCTTCGTCTAATTTTTACAATTAATAATGCCTATGGGTCCCTACAGAATAATGCTGATGTATTGTGAATACCACACACAGCTATCAGCATTAATCCAATAAAATTCAAATTTGGCAAAGGTGATTGTTCCTGAAACTCACAAAAATCTCTCTTCCAGCCAGTGAAGTCTTATCCATTTTCCATTGTAAGAACTGGTCTGAGAAAAGGCAGGAAAAATGTGCTTGAAAAAGTTCCAAGTCATTACTGCCATTAAATGATAAAAGGAGACAAAACGGCTTGATATTGCTATCTCCCCCAGATGTGTACAGTCCAGAACATTTTTTTTCTATTTAACTTGGGGAGAGGTGTTGCATAGTTTATCCACATTGCAGAAATCTGGTTGACTGGAAGACGGAATGTTCCCTTTAATCAATCAGATGGTTTTTGATGCAAAAACTGCAGTTTCATACCTCAAATACACCCCAATATATTTAAAGCAAAGAGTTAATTAAAGCAAAGAGTTATTACATATAATTAATTCATAACTAGAAAATTTAAATCGGAGATCAATATAAGTGTTCCTCAAAAGCCTTAAGATTTCAAAAGCACAGACCACCTGGAATGGAAAAAGGTTTCTACCCCTATCTATGTTAACACCTTTAACTGCAGCTTCTTTATTATTAATTTGCCCCCCCCCCAGGAATCTGGAGAATCCATTAAATATATGGAATGTTTTGGCACTTACAAAGGGTTCTTACAACTGATGAAGTCTCTGCCAATCAGAAAGTTCTTTCTTGTCTCTGCAAGACCAGGTTCTATGTCTCCTCAGTATCCGTGGTATTTAACCATCTACTATCTTATTTACTATTGTTTACAATTCCCTGAAACAGAATTTTGCATATCATAGACTCAAAGAATAGGAAGGAACCGTGAAGGTCACCTAGCCCAACCCCTCTGTTCACTATAGGATCAGCTCTACAACTTACGGACATAACTATGTGGAATATAACACGGCATATAGAACAGGCATCCACTCTTCTACCATTGGAAGCGCAAGCCATTCCTAGAAAGATGTTCCTCAGTGGAATTTTTAAAAACTAACTAGCAGCAGAATAAGAGCTACTAAATGGTTGACCATTACTTAACTCAAGAGTTAAACTGATCCCAACAGAATTTAAAACCTATTAACTTCAATTACCTACCAATCACTACATACATACCTTTGGCAAGTAAAAGTACCAGTTACCATGCACCTCTGTTATAGATTTTATTTTATTTAGAATAGCACTTTCTTCCTCTGCCTTCTTCAAGTGCAACAGCAGAATCACTGCCATTGTACTAGAACCATAAAAGGGGAAATTAGCACCTGTACAGTCATTCATGTGCACATTCATTTTGCACACATAGAGCATGTATGTGCACACACAAAGTAATTTTGCAGTGGGTGCAGTGTAGCCAAGATAAAAGATACAGTTATGTTTAGCATAAGCTTTTTCTCCTGTGTTCAAAGCTTTATCAATTTTATTTGACACAATCATAGAAAGCTTCCCTAGAAAGATTATCATTCTAGATGGAAAGGCAGGAGACGTTTTATTCCATCTAGCCAATCCAAGTTCTTTCCTTTAATAAGTTGCAAAGAACAAGGAAAATGTATTCTAGCAGCCATTTACACAATTACCACCAGGGTAAACAATGTTGTAGATGTTCATTAAAATATAGACCATTTTTTTTTAAGATATACAAACACAAACGGAGATGGCCAGGGTTATGCTGCCCCTGGCTACTATTTAACAAAAACTTTGTTGAGCAGCAGCAGTTTGTAAAAAAAAATAATAAATATCAAGGAAAGATCAATAAAATCACATTTCCTTTGGCATCTGAAAGTGATTTACATGACAGCAAGGTAAACCACATAATCAATGGATGCATAAATAGGATATGAAGAGATCAGTGTCCCATATTGCACAGATACAAACTACAATGTCTTTTTCTATCTGTGTCCTAATAATCTGAAACTACAGCTTTGATACGTTGCAGAAAATCATTCTGCGTTGAGGTCATGCCTATCTCTTCTAATTCTCTACTTTGCATCAGATGCTTAACATAACGTAAATGATTAGCAAATTTGGTGATGCAGTCCATTGTCTGTTCTTCAATTAAAACATGGACAGATGTAAACTTTCCTTATCTACAGTACCAAAGAATGGGGTGGGGTTAACTTTACAGAATCCAAAATTCTTAGAATGTGCATTTGCATTTCTGCATTTGCTCAGACTCCTGAAGCAACTCTATAATGAATTACAACAGATATGACTCAGAATTACAAAACTAACAATCAGGAGACTTGATCTCTCAGAATGGATAGATTGACTATATGTACAACTGTTTTAACTGAAACATTTATCATACATACAGTAAAATAATCCCAAGACTTCCAAGTATCAGCTGGGGAAAATGCACACAACAGGGACTTTTAAAAACTCATCATAAGCAACCTCTACCTAAAGTTATAGCTAAAGTAATAGGAAGCTATTGCCCCAAAAACTGACTTCATCACAGCAAATACTAGAGGAAAGAGGTGGCGTTCTTGGGGTTAACAGAGAACCAGTTCTTCTCAATGAATTCGTTCTATCCAGAATTTATTGAAAGAGGTTTGACTTCTGCATAAGAAACAAAAGAGCAGCTCCACTTGTTTGTGCTATGTCCAAATATACCAAACCTTTATACAATTGTGTAGAAATTACAATGGTTGAAACACTTTTACTGGTTATTCAAAATATACCACCTGAAGTGGAAAACTAGGCTACTTTAAATGGCACATACCCACACATTCTGGAGAGGTCCCAGTGTGACACTGTAGTGTGTGCAGCTGAGTGAGCCCTAGGGTAAAGGAAGATTATGTAGGATTGCTACTCATTAGGTGCTGAAAATGCTTCTGAGTAGGCCATCATTCTGATTTGTGAGCACATTTGGAAAGTCTTAGGGGAAAAGTTACAAGAATGAACACTCAAGTACTTCAGCTGGTGCTCTATTCAGTTAACCCTACTTTTTAAAAAGTGTCTATGTAAAGTACAAGCATGCAAATATAAGGTCAGTCCACAGGCACATAGGATCCATGTTAAAAAGAACAGTAAGGTAGCTGGGATGAGTGACACCAACAACTGATGATTACGGACACAATCAGGTGTTCTGAATAAATTCGTAAAGTCAAAATCCTGATGCAAATTCCTGCTAGTCTTGGTCACATTGCTAATACTAAAGTAGGCATGTTGTCCCCATTGTTTTAGCCAAGCTCAAGGAATTTACAATATTTAGTAAGAAAAAATTAAAGTATTTCCCCCCTCTTTTTTCTTTAAATTTACACAGACGTTTAATCAGCTTTATTTACAGAGCAGTTTTTTCAGTCTCCAATAGTGCCCAGATAGCATCAGGCAAGAATGCCAGTTTTTAAAAGAGAATCTATATAGAAACCTAAAAATAACAGATGGTGATGCTCCTCATGAAGGGGCAAGCTGGACTACAGAAGCAGTTCTCTACACATGGCTCAGTTACTCAGAAGTAGTTCTGTTGCTGTCTCTACATCCCATGATTTTGATGACAAGGCCACTATTACTGCATTCTGCAAAGACAAAACAGTAATAATATAAAACAAATGTTATTGAAACCAGAGCTATACTTGTTTACACAAATCCCAAATCAATGTGTGAACTGAATGAAGGTGTGCAAACTTGTTTAAATACAGTTAAATTAAGGCTAAATACTTTACAGAAAATCATTAATTAAGTGGTTCTCTGACATATCAAACTAGCAAAAGACTTAGTATCTGCATAAGTAATATGCACAGAAGCTTCTTCCAAGTTAAGGGGGAAAAAGTAAGATAGTATTTTAAGGAAGCCGCCTTTAATCCAAATTCTATCTCATCTTCCAGCAAGACATATGCTCTGAGTTGCTATTTTAAAAATACTGAATACTTACCCTATCAAAGCCCATAGCACAAAGGTTTTCTATCTTTTTGGTGTATTCTGGACTAGAAACTGGTGCTCCAGCATACACGTGGGCCCAAAGTCGAGCTGTCTGTTTAAACATTTCTGGATTTTGTTTATACTGTACCAAAAAGGGGGGGGGGGAAGAGAAAGAAAAGTGAACTCATACAACAGTCCAAACTCAATGAGAATTTTGTATTCAAACACCTATTTTTCACCAGAAGGGCTTTGTGTTACCTTGTAATGCATTTGTGAAATAATTGCCTAAGATTAGAGGAAGAAACATGGCCTAAAGCATTTTATAGCTCGCAAAATCAAACATTATGGTGTCAAATTTGGAGATGTGCTGCTGAAATGTGCAGGTAGAAACATCTTTAAGCCACAATTTTGATAGTGTGTGCACGTGCATATCGCAGGGTCTCCTCAATCTGTTGAAGACACCATCCTCCTGTTAAGGCAATGTAACTTGGTGGTCTTATATCTAATAACACTATTATTGATGCCTGTGGATACAAATGATCAGGACTGATCCTGACGCTTCTGACATAAATACAGACTAGTCGGATAGTTTTGCTTAAGTTATACAGTGGTGCCTCGCTAGACGATGGTAATCCGTTCCACTGAAATCGCTGTTTAGCGAAATCATCGTCTAGCGAAAGGCATTTCCCCATTGGAATGCATTGAAACCTGTTTAATGTGTTCCAATGGGGAAGAATCGTCATCGTATAGCGAAGATTGACCATAGGAAAGCCGCTTTGCAAACAGCTGATCAGATGTTTTTAATCGCTGTCTTGCGAAAAACGGGCCCGAAAGCACCCATTTTGCGAGGATCGCCCCTAGGGAAGCCACTTTGCGAACTGCCGATCAGCTGTTCTAAAGCGTGTTGCGAAAAAAACGTTCCGCGAAGCACAGACCAAATCATTGTCCACCGAAATTCCCCCATAGGAATCACTGTTCTGCGAAGCAAAATGGCTGCCGCAAAACGTCGTCATGCGGATTCGTCATTTTGAGGGGTAACTGTCTTGCGAGGTACCACTGTACAATGCAAATTGTTGTCCACATGTAGTGCTGCATGGGATACTCTGTTACAGCACAATTAAATTATGTTTTTCTTTTGTTGAGAAATAAAATGGAGGAAGACATAAATAAAACTGATACATAGATACACTCTTATCTCTGATTTGAGGTCCTAAATATAGGGTGTGTGGGTACAATCACATTGCTAAAATTTTAGAGATTACATAATGTTTTAAAACTACAGTAGTATCCACCAACTAGTTTAAATTAAACATTATGCCAGCAATTCCTGATATTAATAAATTACAAATCTGACGGCAGTGATAAGCTCATCCATATAAGGATATCTTCAAAATAATGATATTCCTATACTAAAATCACTTATACATTGGGACATGTAGTGCAAACCTGTCAAGTGCAACATTCAGCTATATATAGTCAGAGCTCGACACATGTACAGATTTAAGAAACTAGATTTGGTGGACAGAGTGCCTGAAGAACTATAGATGGAGTCTCGTAACACTGTACAGGAGGCAGCAACAAAAACCATCCCAAAGAAAAGGAAAGGCAAGAAAGCAAAGTGGCTGTACAACAAGGCCTTACAAATAGCAGAGAAGGGAAACCAAATGCTAGGGAGATAGGGAAAGTTACAGAAAACTGAATGCAGACTTCCAACGAATATCAAGGAGAGATAAGAGGGCCTTCTTAAATAAACAGTGCAAAGATATAAAGGAAAATAACAGAAAGGGAAAAACAAGTGACCTGTTCAAGAAAATTGGAGATATGAAAGGAACACTTTGTGCAAAGATGGACATGATAAAGGACAAAAATAGGACGGACCTCACATAAGCAGAAGACATCAAGAAGAGATGGCAAGAATACACAGAGGAATTATACCAGAAATTTCTGGATATCCCAGACAACCCAGATAGTGTGGTTGCTGACCTTGAGCCAGTCATCCTGGAGAATGAAGTCTAGTGGGCCTTAGAAAGCATGGCTAACAACAAGGCCAGTGGAGGTTATGGCATTCCAGTTGAACTATCTTAAAAGATTTTAAAAGTTAAGGTGCTACACTCAATATGCCAGCAAGTTTGGAAAACTCAGCAGTAGCCAGAGGATTGGAAAATATCAGTCTATTTTCCAATCCCAAAAAAGGGCAGTGCTAAAGAATGCTCCACCTACCGTACAATTGCACTCATTTCCCACACTAGCAAGGTTATGCTCAAAATCCTACAAGGTAGGCTTCACCAGTATGTGGACCGAGAACTCCCAGAAGTACAAGCTGGATTTCGAAGGGGCAGAGGAACTAGAGACCAAATTGCTAACATGCGCTGGCTTATGGAGAAAGCCAGAGAATTCCAGAAAAATATATACTTCTGCTTCATTGACTATGCAAAAGCCTTTGACTGTGTGGATCACAGCAAACTATGGCAAGTTCTTAAAGAAATGGGAGTGCCTGACCACCTTGTCTATCTCCTGAAAAATCTGTACGTGGGCCAGGAAGCAACAGTTAGAACTGGATATGGAACAACTAAGTGGTTCAAAATTGGGAAAGGAGTACGAGGGAAAGGAGTACGACAAGACTGTATATTGTCTCCCTGCTTATTTAACTTCTATGTAGAATCCATCATACGAAAGGCTGGAGTGGATGAATCCCAAAACAGAATTAAGATTGCCAGAAGAATTATCAACCTCAGATATGCAGTAGATACCACTCTGATGGCAGAAAGTGAGGAGGAATTAAAGAACCTCATAATGAGGGTGAAAGAGGAGAGTGCAAAAATGGTCTGAAGCTCAACATAAAAAAAACTATGATCATGGCCACTGGCCCCGTCATCTCCTGGCAAACAGAAGGGGAAGATATCGAGGCAGTGACAGATTTTACTTTCTTGGGCTCCATGATCAATGCAGATGGTGACAGCAGCCACAAAATTAAAAGACGCCTGCTTCCTGGGAGGAAAGCGATGACAAACCTAGACAGCATCTTAAAAAGCAGAGACATCGCCTTGCCGACAAAGGTCCGCATAGTCAAAGCTATGGTTTTTCCAGTAGCGATGTATGGAAGTGAGAACTGGACTATAAAGAAGGCTGACCACTGAAGGATTTGTGCTTTTGAATTGTGGTGCTGGAGGAGACTCTTGAGAGTCCCCTGGACTGCAAGGAGAACAAACCTATCCATTCTGAAGGAAATCACCCCTGACTGCTCACTGGAAAGACAGGTCCTGAAGCGGAGGCTCTAATACTTTGGCCATCTCATGAGAAGAGAAGATTCCCTGGGAAATACCCTGATGTTGGGAAAGTGTGAGGGCAAGAGGAGAAGGGTATGTCAGAGGATGAAATGGTTGAACAGTGTCATTGAAGCTACCAATGTGAATTAGGCCAGTGGGAGGCAGTGGAAGACAGGAGGGCCTAGCATGCTCTGGTCCATGGGGTCACAAAGAGTTGGACACAACTTAACAACTAAACAACAAGACACATGTACATTTATCATGTTATTAAGAATGCAGTATCTTGCATGGAAAGAGAAATCTATGTAGCAGATCATATTTTAAATTTAAATCATTCTTCTAATAAAGTTATTGGTGGACTTGATTATGAGGATTTCCCAGAATGAAACTGCTTATTCGCTCACTCACAAGATTAACCATGATCAACTGTAAATAAATTTGCTACACAAACATCTTTGTAAAGATACAGAAAAGGTATGCCCAGTATTGGATATGAACAGGATAGAGAACTATTAATTTGAGGACACACATATTACTATAGGGATGGGTATCAGCTAAAGAAAAATGTACAGTTCTCGGCTGAATTGATAAAATGGCTCCCAACAGACCTTCAATATTCTTATAAAGATGCTTGTGTAGCATATCCACAGCTTATCAGTTAAGTCTTGTGAGTAAATAAGCAGCTTCATGCTGGGAATTTCTCATAATCAAGTCCACGAAGAATTTTATTAGAAAAATTACTTAAATTTAAAAGACAATTTCCTGTATATTTGGTTCCATTAAATTCTCATAGCATCCTCCACTGTGGAATCGGTCAGGTTCCCTGTACAGTGTCCAGTCTTTATAATGTGCTGTTCAGTGTGTCACAGAAACAGCTAGGAAAAACCTACTTGTTTGTAATAAACTTGTACGGAAAGCTTACAAAAGTATTTCAAGCATAATACTATCAAGGTACACCTGGTGTAAGAAACTGGCCCTTTCCTTGGGTGATAAAAGCATAAATGCAAGATTCTAACATCACCATAGTGAAGACAGCATATGATAGATTCACTCCTGCCTGGTTTATAGGTACCTGCAGGTATTCGCCTACATATTTATAACAATTTTCAGAAAGCCACTGTTAAATGTTTTATAAGGCAGCCCTGCAACTGCATACTTAGATGTACACCCCAATGAGTGCCAACAGGACTTATTTCCAACTAACTGCATGTAGAACCTTGAAGTCTTACCTAGTTTTTAAGAAAGAGAGAGAGAGAGAAATTTGAGGCATTAACCATTAAGACTTATGTGACTTATATTAGCCAAGAAATTAAGCATATATATTCTTCTGACTAGATACACTTGGTTTTCCTGAGATACTTCTATCAGAACAATCTCCTGTAGAAATGCAAATCTGACTCTTCAGCACACACAGATTATTAACACATTCAGGGAACTTCTATAAATAACCAAAATGCTTTTTACTAGTATAGATGCAAAGATATGTGCATCAACAATACAGATTTCATTAAAAAGCTAGCTGCTTGAGATAACAGTGGGGAAGAGATCCCAGTGTGGTTTTAACCATTTATTTTTAAAGCTCTTGCCAGAAGACAAGGTGTAAATTAACTGATGTATCATTTTTTGATATTCCAAGTCTGCATTTTCTGCACTGGTCTCTAAGCATTTATTCCACTACCTTGTGTCCTATAGATTTAATGAAGAAAAGAAAGTTTGGGAGCCATTAATGACTGGTGAAGGGAGGGGAAAAAACAGTACTACGAAAAGAACCAGAACATCCTCAAACATTGTACCTGATTTGCCACTACTGCATCTTGCGGGTCATCAGGCTCTGCAGCTGCCAAGAGCGCTTGAAGTGATAACAACACTGTCCTTAGAGTCATTGCTGCAGCCCTGAAAAGAAAAGGTCAGAAATAAGGTCAGTGGGAATCTGTGGTTTCTTTCTCTATGTCATATTATTAGCAGAAAACAACGTATGTGGCTAGCTATACCAGTGGTTCTTAACCTTGGGTTACTCAGGTGTTTTTGGACTGCAACTCCCAGAAGCCTTCACCACCAGCTGTGCTGGCTGGGGTTTCTGGGAGTTGCACTCCAAAAACACCTGAGTAACCCAAGGTTAAGACCACCGAGCTATACCACTCAAAACTTGCCCAATCTTCAATTCAGAAGTTTGGAAGGAGAACCTCTTGCGTATTTACAGGGCTTGAAAAATGCACTCGTCCACTCATCTGTGACGAGTGAAAAATGCTGCTCGATGAGTCACAGCTCCATGCCTGCCTGCCTGCCTCCTTCCCTTCTGAATGTCTGTCTCTCTAATCCTGCAGTCCTCCCCACCCTCCCATTGCAAAAGGAAAAATGCCCTCTTCTTGTGAGAAGAGAATTCGAGTGGCACATAGAGATATAGCTCTGCAGAAGAATGTAGAGTAGTCCCATGCTGCAGAACATGGAGATTCCCTACTCCCAATTTCAACTAAATGAGGACACATCCTGGGGTGGGAGGGAACCGTGGCTCTTTAAGAGGCTGGGTGCTTTTTCTTTCAGTTTTATTTTTGTTCGAGATATTCAAAAGAAAGGCATTCAAAATACAAACTTCATGATCCCACAGGCATGCAAGTAATAAAGCAACCCAAGTCTGAGGGTATAAATCAGTGATTCCCAATCTTGGGTCACTCAGGTGTCCTTGGACTGGTTCTTATGCTGGCCAACTGCTGGTGAAGACTTCTGGGGATTGTAGTCCAAGAACACCTGGGGGGACCTGGTTATCTCCTGCCCCCCCAAAAGCCATCAATAAATGGTACTTCAGTGCTAAAACTACCAGGCATGTTCAAGGACACAAGTTCCCTAAGTTTTATCAGTATGTGGACTGTCCCACTAGAGGGGAAAATATCTGGGATCAGGTATATGGCAACATCATGCATGGATGTAAGACGAAGCCATTGCCTAGTTTGGGACAGTCAGATCACATCATATATCTCTGTTTTTGATTCCATAATACATACCTCTTGTTAACAGAATCAGACCATCAACTAGAGAAATACAAGTGTGGCCAGTAAGTGCATCTGAGCAACTTCATCATTGCTTTAGGAGCACTGAATGGGCACTGTTTGAGGAGGGCAATGCTGATAACTTATACCTTGACAGTACTGTTTTATATCAAAAGCTGCATCAATGTTGTTACTACTACCAGACAACTACGAGTGTTTTCTAATAACAAGCCTTGGCTAAATAGAGAAGTGCGCCTTTTACTAAAAACCAGAAATGCTGCTTTTCAATTCTGGTGATGCGCTACAGTATAGAGAGGCCAAAGCTAAATTGAAAAAAGGATATTAGGGACGCCAAAGCTATGTACAGCCGGAGGATTGAGCAACATCTTAAGAGCTCTGACACTTGGATATGGCATGGCATGCAACAAATCATGGGGCAGAGTAACAAAAACAGTCTATTTAGCAGCAGTGATTTTTGACTGAGCAGTTAAATCAATTTTTCAGCCGTTTTGAGGTGGAAACAGGAACAACAATTATTCCAGCACCTACTATCTATAGTACATCACTAGAATCTACCATTGACAAATAACCACTACTACTGCAGATTTCAGATGTGAGACGCGCTTTCCAGAATATTAACGTTCAAAAGGCAGCTGGATCAGATGGAATCATGGCTCAAGTTGTTAGGGGCTGCACTACAGAATTAGCTGGAGTTTTATGAATATTTTCAATCTATCCTTGTTGCAGTGTTCTGTCCCCACTTGTCTGAAGACATCTATTGTAGTGCCAGTCCCCAAGCAGTCAGCTGTGGTATCTCTCAATGATTATAGACCAGTAGCTTTAACATCTGTTTTTATGAAATCTTTTGAGAGATTGGTGCTAGATTACATTAAGGCTAGTCTTCCACCTTCTTTGGACCCATGGCAGGAGAACTAGATCTACTGATGATGCTGTTTCCATTGTTCATACTGCATTGAGTCAGAACAACAGGGAACTTATGCGAGGCTGTTGTTTGTGGATTATAGCTCTGCTTGTAATACCATTCTACCCAATAGGTTGTTTTTTAAAATGATCAACCTGGGATTACCTCAATTTACAGGTGTGCCCTGTAAGTTGCTGTTGACCCCAATGCCTGGCAGGATTGTCAGCTCTTGCCCAACCTCCTCTAGGGTCTCCTGAAACATGTGGACCCCAGGAGAACTTGGTGGAAGGAAAGCTGTCAGCTGCCGAGAGACCCAGGAGCAAGTTTGAGCTAGGAGAACAGGTGGGGGAGGTTGGCGCAAAATAAAAGGGGAAGAAGTGATGGAGGCCAATGAGAGGGGGCAGAACGGGACAAATTCCTTGGGACTGCAGAAGACAGTGAGACTACCTTGGATGCTGAAGAAACCTGGGGAGAAGCTGAGCTGTCATGCTATGGTCAGGAGGTCTTAAGAGTACCAACTACAGGAAAAAACTGTTTATGGTGAGGTGTCTTGGTAGAGGTAGCAGTAGCTAAAGGCAAAGTGACAGTGCTCCCATATTTGCCCCACCGAAGTCCCCATCTCAGCCAGTGTCCACTGGTAAGCTGATGGGTTCCACTGCCCAAACCCCACACCACCAGTTATCACAAGCATCAGAAAGAAGGGCTATGATGGTGGTTTCAGGAGGAGTCAAGAGGATGCCAGTGGATACTGCCAGCCACCTTTACTGGCCATCCAAGAGAAGTCAGTAGGAATATTAGAGCATAACTGTTGTGTGGACTTTTGAGCTGGGGCTCTACCCTTTCTCAAGTGGATTTACCCAGGGAACAGGCAGGAGAGACACTGCCAAAGGAGCTAGTACCAGCAACTGAGTCCCCAGCAGACTACTTACAGTTAACATTAATCAGAGCTTCTCCTTCTCTTTGGACAAAATCCTCTTGGTATAAAGTTTCCTCAGTGTAAACTGGATCTAGAACTGGAAATACTAATTTAAATTAATTAAAAACTTCCTTCCACTTTCAGATTCTGAAGCTCCCTAGAGTACTTTTTTGGGAACTTCGAGGAGGGTTGAAAACTTAATTATATAAAAAAAATCACCAGTGGTTCACCAGCAGCAACAATGGAGCTGCGATTTTTTACTCTTAAAGGCACTCCCCATCCTTAGGCTCCCCTGGGACAAAAGAGAGCCCTATGGAGCCTCAGAACCTGAAAAAAAGTGGGGGAATAGGAAGCTTTCAGTTGATTTAAACTAATTATTTCCGGCACTGGGTCCAGTTTACATTGGCATAATTCTACATGATAGGATTTTACCTTCTGAATTTAAAATGGTAAATGAAAGATGATAATGAACACAAAAAACATAGCAATAATGGATACCAAAGGCTAAAAATTAACACTTTTACTGAATGTATAACATATTGTCCAAAATCCTGTTGCTTAGTAAATTGCACTACAGCAGGTGCACTGAATCAACAAGAATTTAATGAGTCAGTTCTTCCATAAGGTGATTTTAATGGGACTTTCTCTAAACTTTGGCTTACTATACTAAAATAAGTAACAGTTAGATACGGCCCATCTGAATCAATGGAATCTAGTGGAGTTGACTCACCAAATTCCTATAGATTCAACAGGCCCACTGTTGTATAATTTGCTAAACAACAGGATTTTAGCCACCCATATATTTAAAGACTTTAAGTAGAACTTTTTTAGCAGAACCTTACCATTGATCTTTTAGGATATCCAAACAAATAGCCCCAGTGACTGAACTAATATTAGGATGCCATATTTTGGTGATAAACCGCACCTAGAACATAAAATACATATTACTATAAAAACTGTTGATAAACAATAGACACATAATACTCAATAGAGCTATAATTTTAACAGGAAAACCATGGCTGTTCTCACAAAATGAGACATGGCGATTAATGCCTGAATTCTGCTTTTTCACACTGCAGGTGAGGGCTCACATACCGTATTTTTCACACCATAAGACGCACTTTTTCCCCACAAAACAGGGGGGTGGAAAGTCTGTGTGTCTTATGGAGCGAAGAAAACAGATTATATTTTCCTGTTTTCTTCTCCTAAAAAATTGATGCATCTTATGGAAAGGTGCGTCTTATGGAGCGAAAAATACGGTAATTGAATGCTCCTATATACAACAGCAGACATAATCCTCCATATACATTTTGTAGCACTTCCAGCCTAGTTTTCTTAATGAAAAGTTAACTTTCTGCTTTTTTAAAAAAGGGAGGGGTCTGCCATAAGCAGCACACCATTACGTGAATTCTCATTTGCAAGTTGGAAGGAAAAACCTTGTTTGGGATCATACACCTTGAAGTCACACCACTGGTCTATCTAGCTCATTACTGTCTGCATCAATTGGCAGGAACTCTTGAGAAGAAATCTTTCCAAACATTATCTGCAGATGCCCACAATTGAACCTTGGCTGTTCTGCATACAAAATGTGATTTGCTTCTGGTTTTTAACTAACGGACAAAATTTAACATGGTTTTTTTTTTTTATAAAAACAAAAGATGGATCTGCTTAACTTGGATTGTTCAAGGGATGCAATTTATTAAATAAAGCAGCTTAAGTAGTATCAGCATCCAGAATACTAATTTAGCAAATTGTGTGTTATAGCAAAACTGCCAAACTAAACTGTTACCACGTGCTTATAATGTCATTATCAAAGAATATTTGCCAATAGGCATGGGATTTTCAGATCCCCCCCACAACTGCTATCACAATTCACAAAGAAGTTCCCCATCCAGAATTTTGGTACAGTGATGCCTCACTTAGCGATGTTAATCCATTCCAGGAAAAACGTCGCTAAGTGATTTAATCGCTAAGCGATTTAAAAAAGCCCATAGGAATGTATTAAAACGCATTTAATACGTTCCTATGGGCTTAGAAACTAACCTTAAGTGAAATTCCTCCATAGCGGCGGCCATTTTGGGTGCATCTAAAGCGAGGCAAAACAGTGGCCGCCATTTTGGAACCGCCGATCAGCTGTGCGAAAATGGGGGCTTTGCAATGATCACGGGGAAGCAATCATCGCAAAGCCACCATTTTCGGCCAGCTGATGGGTGGGGCTTTGCGATGATCGCTTCCCCACGATCATCCCAAAGCCCTGCCGATCAGCTGTGCTTTGTCTCTCTCTCTCTCTCTCCACACCTCGCAGCTCCAGCTTCGGCAGGGAGACTGAGGAACCACCCAGGCTTAAAGTTGCTGCAGGTGCAGAGGATCTTTCTCGGCCAGGGTGGCGCGGCAGTGCCTCAGTCTCCCTGCCAAGGCTGGAGCTGCGAGGGGTGTAGAGAGAGAGAGAGAGAGAGAAAGCACAGCTGATTGGCGGGGGCTTTGGGATGATCGCGGGGAAGCGCTTCCCCACGATCATCCCAGAAATGGGGGCTTTGAGATGATCGCTTCCCCGCAATCATCGCAAAGCGAATTTTCCCCATAGGGGCCATCGCAAAGTGATTGCTCTTGCGATGGCAAAAAGTCCATTGCAAAGCGATTTTGTCCTAAAACAGAGTGATCACTATGAGAGGCACCACTGTACCTGTAGCAAAAACCTCCAGGTCCTCAGATGAGGTGCAGTACACACACCGAAGGCCCATTGGTTTTTCTGCTCTCATGGCAAAAGGAGAGAGTACACAGGACTTTATAAACTCCATGGGAACTACAAGGGATTGTGGTAGTCTCCCTGTTCATTAGGCTCCACACATGGTGACTCTCAGAAAACTACCAATCTCACAACTCCTTGTAGTTTCCAAGGAGCTTAGCAAGTCCCACCCACTCTGTCCCTTTGCAATCATTGCAAAACACATCATGTTGGGACCTCAGCTGTGTATACGGAAACATCTGAGATTTTTTTGGCTATAGGTACCAGAATTCCAGCTGGGGAAATTCCTGGTGAATTGTGGTAACTGAAATAAAAACAAAATCTGAAAATCCCAGGTCTGCCAGCCAACTATTATGTAATTTAGGAATCAGTATAAATCTTCAGCTACAAATACCCAAGAAAATACTGTCCACATCTATGGTGGCAACGTACTATCAAAGATCTGTTATTGTATTTCACAAGTTAAATTAATGTTCAAACAGAGAAAAAGATGCAGGAATAGAATACTTGACAACAAAGTTACAATGAAAATAATTTGCTTAAAGAGTCTGCCATACTTCAATTGTATAGCTTTTTGAAATGAGGAACTAGTGATAGAAAGTTATTATAAATGTATTATTGTCTTCATTTTATCTAAAAAGACTAGGATAGGAAACCAGCAATTCTTTTTGAAATATATAATCCAGATAATCTTTGGCAAGAATCACGCTCACATACCTTAGGAGGGTTAAATGGATACGTTTCTGGAATTTTTATTTCTAGTTGATATCTTCCTCCTACAAAAGTCAAAGACACAAGCATTACATACATATTATCCTACCAAAATACTGAGTTCTCATATAAATGAAATCAGTTGGTAATTTAAACATTTAACTTAGAAAAATAAGGAACAGCTAGTTTAATTTCACATTGAAGCAACTCCTACCATTAAGCCTTCTTACCTTCATGCTTTTAAGTGCACATCAGTTACTTCATAGTATGGACACAAACTATACTAGCAATACTCTTCTAGTATGTGTGTCTATCTCTATTTCCTTTTTATTCCATCTACTTCAAATCTGTAAACCCCTTAGGATGGAGATTGTTCCTTTCCTTTCCCACATCTTCTCTCTCTCTCTCTCTCTCTCTTGACTCTGCCCCTGCATTCATGCACACCTCCGCTCCCCTACATCCAGAGTTCTCTCACGACCAGAACCTAATGCGATCACTGCATGGAGGAAGAAAGTTGTGCGCAGGGAGGCAGAGACACATGCACCCAGCTTAGAAGGAATTTTGAATGCTGGATGTTATGAACAGAGATCAAAATATTTAATGGAATACCATTCTAGCTCTTTCAATGAAGAAAAAAGATCAGTGAGAAAGAGATAGGCTAAGACAAACATCTAGAGAAAGAAGCAGACTTAATTTCCTCTCACACTCCCTCCAATAATTCCACTAGCAAAACTAGAGAAGAAATAGCAACATATTAAAAACTCTGTGGGGAAGGCTTGGAACCTATTCCCATAGATAGAGGGGTCCTACTGTAAACACTTGGGAACTACCATAAAATGTTCTTGTTGAATCAATGTTAAGCCATAATAAAGATAGGGCAAATTCCCACATCTCTGCAACCCCTAGCCAGCAACCCCTAGCCAGAATGATGCAGTCTCCCCCCCAACAAGCCTGAATATTGAACGTTATTTATTTTTTTATTTTATTTATATCCCGCCTATCTAGTCAATTAAGACCACTCTAGGCGGCTGCATCTTATTGTAAGAGAATCTAGCTGGCAAGGTAGCTAGACGTTGTGCTGAGTATAGACGCAGTATTGAGAATGATGGATAACATGGCCACCAATGGATTAATAAAATGGCAGCAGTACTGTCCTTTCTGAGTTTCACACTGGTCCAGATTTTTTTTTGGGGGGGGGGGGAGAAGAAGATACATAAAGGATAGTTCCTAACCAAGAGTGAAGGAATATATCTCCCATGGACTAATGATCTATGTTCTGGTGCAAGAATGAGGGCACCGCTGGTTTGTGTCTAATACAAAAAAGAAACAGATGTTTCAGCCCAATGGTGGACTAGGAGATAATATACATGTTCCTTTTCATGCGTTTGTGTGAGGTCTCAACTGAGACAATCAGTGAATTCATTATCTGTGCTCACAACATGAATCACTACTGAAAAATGCATCTTTCCAGGCTCTGCTGCCAAAGAAATGTAGCTACTTAAAGATAATGTGTTCTATCTTGTCTGTTTATGTACCCTGTTTCCCCGAAAATGAGACTTAACCTGAAAAATAGGACCTACTATGATTTTTCAGGATGCTCATAATATAAGCCCTACCCCAAAAATAGGCCCCAGTTCAGTGAAAGCCCACCCTCCACCATTGTGCAGCAACCAGAAGATGACATGACTATATTTGAATAAATGTAGATTTTAGCAAAACTGCTAAAACTCTGTAACAAAAAGTTCTAGTAGATGGATGTGACATTAGCACTCTGCTTCAGACCATGCTGCATGAATCTTGTGGCTACAGCAACCCAAAGATGCATATCACTATAACTAAAAGGAAATTCCATGTGACTATTGACATCAGACATCTACCACCAAAGAGTTTAACATAAGTGGCAAGGTGAATGCTTATGTCTACTGTCAAAAGAACTACAACTTAAGGAGATTTCATGTGGTGAAATTTAAAAGGGATCAGTAGCGTCATTTGTGCCATTTTCTAACTGCAAGGCTACAGTTGGCATAGTTGAAGGTGTAGTCCGTGACTGATCAAATCTGAGAAAACTGTTAAAAGATATTGAAGAAGTATGTTGGACTCTATTAAAAGATAAAGGTTCCCCTTGACATTTTTAGTCCAGTCATGTCCGACTCTAGGGGGCGGTGCTCTTCCCATTTTCAAGCGGTAGAGCCAGCGCTTGTCCGAAGACAGTTTCCATTGTCATGTGGCTAGCGTGAAGAGGGAACACCGTCTTACAGGGTCTAAAATTAGTGGAGATGGAGCTTTAAGTTCCAACTGCATTCAAGCTGGAATGGCAAGTTCTGCCATTCAAAGGATCTGATCAATCTAAGATCCAACATCATGCTACTACTGGATAATGGGAAGATACTAACGAAGACATATGTCAAAGCAAAATCCTTGGTATAAGAATAGGCATGATCCTTACCTGACACTGAAGGTGTTTCATTGAAACTGAAAGGTCAAAACTTGACTGGCTTTGGAAATACTAGTGGAATAACTTGTAGTGAACTGAGGCATAATACTAAAGGTACTGATAATAATGACAGAAGGAATTTTTGATGCACAAGCTAGCAACCAATTAACTTCGTTGTGTGAGGCACCAGTGTATATTGTTGACATGACAAGTACTATCTAAATGAAAGAAACAAGCAGACTTGATGCCTGCTCTAGTTCAGAGATTAGAGGATTAGATACCGTGGCCGACGGACATCTGTGATGAGCCTCTCTGGAAGGCTAGAGACATCTGTAATGCTTTGTTAGAGGTCAAGTATCTCAATGGCTGAAATCATGTTGCTTAGTGTAATAAACTGCAACTCAAGTGGACATATTTGAACAATGAAACTTACAGAGGAGTTGGTTCACCAAATTCCCACTGATCTATTGGGCCTATCCTTATACAACATACTATTGTTTATTTATTTCATTTATTCAAAATATTTTACCCCACCTTTCTCCTTAAAATGGACCAAAAGTGGCTTAAATCATTAAAAGACAACATTTAAAACTAAAAACTGTAAGTGTACAAATAATAAAAAGGAACAAATAAATACCACACTGAAAAATAGTAAACAAAAGCAACATCAAAGACATATTCAAAGCAGTAAGGCACATCCATTTAAAAATCCTCATTCAGCAGCCAGTTACTAAGGGAAAGATTGCCTGAAGAGAAAAGTCTTCACTTGTTCATCAAAGGACAACAAAGATTGGGACAGCCTGGTCTCCTATGAGAGGGAGCTTCAAAAGTCTGGGAGCATCAACAGTGAAGGCCCACTCCCATATCCCCACCAAATACACCTGTGAAGGTGGTGGGATCAAGAGAAAGGCCTATCTTGATGATCTTAACACCCAACTAAGCTCATAAAGGGAGATGTAGTCCTTGAGACAGCTTAGAATCCAAGCCATATAAGGGACCATACCAAGTGACATGATTTCAGACAATACTGCAAGACAACAGTCCCCCAAAACACCATAAAATATTTGGAAGAGACAGTTTGGTCTGTACTAATAACAAAGGCTTAGTACGGGTTGATATAATTTTTCCAAAAGTAACAGTCACAAGGAGGCAACCTTGAATAATGTTGGTACTACTGATGGAAATTCTAAAGAATCATTGGAATGGTCCAGTCTTGGAATCCTTTTCTCTGATGCTCAAGCCTGAGAATGCTAAAACATTAGCTGGACTTGGAGGAGAATGTATTTTAGAAGCCATTATGGGCAAGGATCTAAAGAAGAGGTGGTGCCTTCGCAATGCGCAAGTGTCTTATCTACATCATCAGACCATAACAACTGAAATTGATCCAATTTAACCTGATAGATGGTGGTTTGGGCATCTTTAGATCTACTATAAGGAGTCAAGGTCCCAAAAGATGCATTCAACCTTAGCTTAATAATGGGGTATCAATCTATTACAGTTTTCCAGACTTTGATGTAAGGATTGTTTTTGTCCAGAAGAAATAAGGCCATAAGCTATATGGAGAAATTCTGTCTGTTGAGCTGATGCCTCAATCTGTTGGGAATTATGGCTTCTTTTAATGGTCTTAAGTTCATTCCTATACATTAGTACCTCAGTTTATGAACGCCTTGGTTAATGTAATTTTGGTTTACAAATGGAAATCTATTGAAAACAATGGCTCTGTTTACGGTTTTATTCTGCAGCACGAAGGAAGTTTCCCCAGGATGCATTTTGCCTGGAGGTTTATAGTGCCGTCCCTGATCCTATGGCAAATCTCATATCAGTTTATGATTTTTTTCAGTTTATGAATAATGTCCTGGAGAATGCGTTAAATTTGTAAAGCGAGTTACTACTGTATCTTCCAGACATTTCCTTGTCAGTTCAGATATCTTATGCAGAAGAACATTATGCCATGTGATTTTATGTAATGAAGTACATAAGCTGAATTGTTTGATGGGGTTATGACTGTTCTTATGAGTTATGGGGCAACGTATTTTGCTGTTAGAATCTTATTTTTGTTGTATGTGTAATGGCTGTTGAACTATGCTATGTGCCATTCTAAATGTTTTTAGACAAAAGAACATATAAATGAACATAATAATTTTAGTTTAGACACCTTATTTCAGATATCAGTTTCTGTGAATCTGGCAAATATTGTACTGCTGTGTGAAATGCCGTTCTCCAATATACCTCCAACAACCCATTTCTTAAAGAGGACTTCAGAGGACATAAACAAGTTCCAATATACAGTTTTCTTGTTGTACTTGTTGATTTTTGTTCATTAAGAGAACTAATGAGGATAAGAAAACTATACAGTATTTAAAATGAAAAATCTACAACAAAAAGATATTCGATGCTGTGATATGCAAAAGAAAATGCTTTTGCTTCTGCCAGCATGGCAGTTGAAAAGGAACAGAAGAAAAAGCATTATTACGGCTAGGCATAGGGCACAGAGGCAGGGTTACCACCAAAATACATGCAACTCTAGAAGACTTTGGACATGGATCTGCACAGGCACAAGATATTACAAAACGTGTGTGTGTGTGCATGTGTGCGCGTGCGCACACACACACACATCAGTTGCTATTTTACTACAGTACATATATCCTGACAATACACTCTAAAAGAGGGATGAAAAATCAAATTACTTCTCCCTGAGGCTGCATGATTTCAGAGGAAAGAACACTATCCTATGATGTCACTAGATCCGTGGCTGAAGCACTTGGTGGAACCTTTCCACCTGCTGCTTTAACTGGGAACTCAACTATGCCTCTCAGCTCTCCCATAGGAAAGAGGAAAGAAAAACAACGTGCTCTCAGCCAGCACCTGCAGGAAGAATCCTCAGTGTTATTACAGATCCCTGTTGGGAGAAGCAGTGGGAAGTCCTCATGCCTGCCTTCATCGCCTGCTAGAGCTGGGCCAAAGTCCAAACCTCTTTGTACCATACTGGGACTGGCAGCAAAAGGTCCATAGAGATCTTTCTACAGCAAACTTTATAAAGTTAGGAAGCAACCAAGGTATATTTATGCTTTGATTTTAAACAAAAGCATTACTAAAGGTGCATTCTACATAAATTTGGTGAACTACTTTAAAGAAATTAAGAGACAGTTTTTTTAAGATTTAATGTCACCAATGTACATAGTACTTTGTGCAGTCAACATAAACAAAACACACAGCTCTGAAGCATTTTAAGCGTTTACACATAAACAGATAGCTATCAGTTGTTTTAAATTTTGTTCCTATGCTATGTTGGGAAAGGAAAGAGAAAAAAGAGCCCCAAAACCTGTTAATCAACTGAATATTCGATATAAAAATGGAACCAATGCAAATTTGATCCTAAAAATAACACCTTGTTCTACATTTGCCTTGTTCATTCTGGGCAGTACCTGGTATCAAAGACAGCAGGTAACTGGAATTTTTCCCAGCAGTGACTACTTCAGTATAAAACTGAAGCCTCTTTAGCCTCTTTAGAGTGCTGTCCTCTGAAGATGTCGGCCACAGAGACTGGCGAAACATTAGGAAGAACAACCTTCGGAACACGGCCAAAGAGCCCGAAAAACCCACAACAACCTCTTTAGAAGTGTTGCACTGCTGCTTAAAGTTATCTATATCAGTGGTCCCCAACTGCAGACTGGTTGGGGGGGAAGCACATTCAGGTGGGGGGTGTGGCACGCTCGCGGGGTTGGCATGCCCACAGGGGGCGCGAGATCTGTGTCCACAGCCTGGTCCTGCCTAGGCCACGACTGCTGCTGGGTCGCAGACCGGGGGTTGGGGACCCTGATCTATACAATAAACTTTATTCTGCTTTAAAGATACAATGTTTTATTTGGTAGGTTAAGCATACAAGTTGCACCAATTCCTACAAAATTCATACCAAAACATGTCTGAAAATTTACCTGCATAAGCAAGCTCAAGCAACAACACACAACAAATCAGGAATTAACCTTTATGTATTCCATGTGAATGGAATTAGATTAGTTCGGTTAACAGACTTCAAAATGAGATGAGTATCATTTCTTATGAACTTCAATTTCCAACAATATGATTTGACACAATTTCTGACTTATACAAAATATTACTTGCCTTCATATGGTGTGTCCGGAGGTCCTGCTATTTCTCCTCTTAGTTCTGTAAAATTTTCATCTACAAGATCTACCTTAATTTGATTTTTGCTCGTCTTAAAAATAAAACAGAAAAAATGCAATTAGATGCTAATATTAGATTCTCTTTTCCTCCAAATTTATGGAGATGGCATTTTATAGCCTTTCGCTACAATAATGTATACATAAATTCCAAGTAACTTCAACATTTAACAATTCCAAAATCTTAGATATACAGCTTTTAAAGTACAGTATGTTTGCATTAGCTAACCTATGAACGTATAGCATGTCCATCAATATTTTAAATTATAGCTTAAATTCTTTTCAAAATGTTTAAAACTCCCTCAAGTCAATAAATGTAAGCCCTGTGTGAACTGCACACAGGACTTCAACCTTAATACTGTAATTCTGAATGACCATTATGATTATGTATGTATTCCAAAAAGAAACCAGAAAAACAGATTTCACAATGTCATTAACAATCACTTTGCTATTTTTTGTAATAATTCATTTTAGGTAACCAGCGTGGTGTATTGGATAGAGCGATGGACTAGACTCTGGAGACCAAGGTCTGAATCCCCAATCTGGCCATGGAAACTGGGGAAGTGAAATTGGTAAACCCACTTCTCTATCAGGGTCACTGTTGGTCCGTTCCAACTTGATGGCACATAATTAACTGATAGTTTTAATGCACTGTAACAGTGATGGTGAACTTTTCTGAGCCTGAGTGCCCAAACTCCCAACACAAAACCAACTTATTTATTTCAAAATGCCAACCTAATTACTGATGTTTTAGTTTAGAAAAACAACTGCTCTTGCACTGCAAGGGTTAAATGTCTGTGTTTTTTCTAGGGGTAGTACTAACAGATAAATATTTACTGTCCTCCAATCCTCCGTCAGCTTAGACCAGTAATGGCCACCATTGCACTCCTCCGCTGGACCACTGCACACTATCAAAACTGGTGTCTGAAATTACCATTAAACAGACTGTCCAAGAAAATTATTTGAGGAACATACTCAAAATTACACTTGTTCCACTCTGGTAAGTGCCTTGACAGGACATTTCTTGGAAACTTCAATAAGGATGAAACAGTCTGACAGAAAAATATGGCATAACAAACACAGTAGGAATGTGATTTTTTTTTTTAAAAAAAGGACTAAAAATCCCATAATTCTCCATTCTGGGAGTTCCAGCTGACAGACAACTTATAGATACCTAATGTGAATCTCCTAGGAATACTAAAACGGAAGGTCTTGAGGCCCAGCTGGGCCTATATCTTGCATGGTTTCCTGTTCAGAAATAAATCAACCAGTTAACACCAGGACAGGAGTAAGAAGCCTGAACAAAGCTAGGATTAGATAGGTTTCAAAGCCTTCCAGTTTAGGCCTTTCTCTCAGCTGAGCCACACTAAGGTGTCCATCAGGTAGATCTTCTGAAACAGAATTATGGGATTTGCAATCCAAAAATCCTAAAATTCAACAGTACATACTGAACTTTTTATATAGCACTTTCCACACAGCTGACCTCTTGGATAATTTCATTATCATATCATTCATTATCGAGAGCAAAAGTGAGGACAACTTCATTTTAAAATACATAGCTGTCACGGGAGACACCAGCAGCACAGCAATGCTTCTCCCACTGACTACCTGCTAGTAATCATCTCCACACAAGAGAAGAAATAATCAGTCAGATAAGGTCACCGCCGCCTAGTGTACCTAGTGGGTAAAGTGTTAGACTTGGACCAAGGGGATACAAATCTTCAACTCAATCATGAAGCTCATTAAGAGATACCGGAGAAGTCTCTCTCGCAGATAGCCTAACACACCACTTAGGACTGTTGACAGAGAGAAAAACGTAGTGCAAGAGGGAATATGTGCATAAATTACTTCCAATACTTTGACTGAAATAATACAGTGGTGCCTCGTATAACGAGTGCCCCGTTTAATGACGAATTCGCATAGCGATGGCAAAAACGCCATCGCTTTTGCGATCGTATAACGAAGGTGCCTATGGGGAAAAATCGCTTTGCGATGTTTTCCCCATAGGCACCATTTTCCCCCAGCAGAGCGGCGGGAGCCTCCAAAGG